GGCAGTGCTGCAGCACTTCGACCCCCTCTACAGCTTGCTCCAGTGAGTACAGAGCGACGAGCGCGGGGCCGGGGCTCCCGGGGACAGCGGGAGCGGAGCGGGTGGAGGAGGGCCGCGGAGAGGCTGATGCACTCGGACACTCACGCCTCTCATTGGTGGTGTTTACTCGCTGCTCTCATGCACTGTGCTTGCCCTGCAGCCACTTCCGAGCTGTGGAGACTGCTGTCAAGGAGGATGCCCTGGAGCTGATGATGCATGGTGGGTATCAGCTGTTTCCAGCTGAAGCAGGAATAATAGAGAGGTTGCTCTTCTTCGGCAGCTCAATGATGATATAAAGGCTAATGTGACTTGACCAGCTGGGTTGCACCCTCAGCCCATTCCAGTAATAGGGGTCTGTAATCTTGGTGGACAATGCAGAGCTGTGCGTGTTCGCTGTAAGGGCAGGCCGACAGAAAATCCCCTTCCCCACATCCTTGGAAAATACATCTTTGGGATGCATCAGCTCTGAGTGAGTGTTTCTATGAGCTGACGGGGGGCTGTGGGGATAGGACAGGATAGCACATCCAAGGTTTGGGTTGCAGGGGGTAGCCCATGTTACAGCTGGTAAGATGTGAGCACACGTCTTTGGTAATCTGATGACTGCTCCAAGTCTCCAAAAGAGAGGATGGCTGAGGGGCCTGGCAAGGAGAGCTCACAACTTTCTGCCTCTCTTCAGTGGTGTCCCATCATTCTAATGAACTTCCTGCCATCTTGGGTGATTCTGGGCTGAGCCATGCAGACCGCGCTGCTCACCTCAACGCTCTCAAGATGAACTGCTATTTGCTGACTGGACTGGTGGACGCCTTTGAAATGGAAACCTGCAAGAGTCGCTTGTTGGAGGTGGATCCTGGTGGGAAGGTAGGTGAGGGGATTGGGAGGAAAACAAGATGATAAGAGTAGAAAACGTGTAAGCTTGCTGAACTCTGTAGTATCTATCAGATGTTATAGCTGGATTTATTTAAACATGATGCCGGCAAGAGCAGTGCATAATGTGGAGTACTGGGATTTCTGTGAAACTGTACGTGGAAAACAGCCAAAGGGACAATATGTGTCTAAACATCAGCAGGGACTCAGATACCCAGGCCCCTCTGTTTCTTTCTTCAGTGTCTGGCTGGTACTTAGCATGCCAGTAATTTCTCGACTTCCCTTCTGTGGTCAAAAATGACAGCAACGGTCATTTGATGTGGGCATATAACCTTCTCGTACATCTCACTGTATGTCTCTTAATGCTGTAGAATTTAACAGTCTTTTTCTTTTTGGAGGGAAGCAGGGTGGCGATGGGGTTTTTTCTGTTGTCCAGCTGCTGATGTATCGCATCGCGTAATCTCCTTTCTAGAACAAGAAGAACCGTACCAAGATCTCTGGATCCTTTTGGGAAGAGGAGAGGGAGCCGCTCTTACAGCTGCTCACGCAGCTGCTGCAGCTGGATCTCCGTCAGCTTTGGGGTGGTTTGGTGGTGGAAGAAGAGTTTGTCAGGTATGGGACGGAGTGGATGTAGAGGTGGGATGGGTGACAGTGGTTTTCTGGGAGGAGGGTTAAATGTTAAATCTGCCAGTGAGGTGGTATTACTGCCCTTGGTGGGGTGCAGATCGCTGGGAAACTGAGGAAACCGTCTTGAGGCAAAAGCAGTGTGTTTAGGAACCTCTTCCTTTCCTCATGTAGGCCTCTAAACTTCAGATGTTGTTTGTTCAGTTTTTTAAGGATACTGGAGAATCTCTCTGGTTTGAGAGAAATGTTTGCCTAGCGCAGTGTGCTAGAATGATGTTGGTGCAAGTTGTGATAGTGTGGTTTCCTGTCTCTCTTCTGTGGCTTTAGCTTAATGACAGGAAGCTGCTACCGTATCCTGGAGAATTCAAGCATCTGTCTTCAGAAGTACCGCGCCACACGGGAGGCTGTGATGCATCTGCTTGCTGCAGCTCTGAATCACTATGATCATATGTTCAGTGAGTTCCTGCTCTTCTGCTTTCTTCCTGAAGCCATTCCCAGTTACTTTCCCTGACCTCTTTCTTCCTCCTCACGTGCGAAAGGTGCCACTCTGAAGATCACGCAGATGCTGCAGCACTTTGAACATGTAGCCCCAGTGTTTGCACAGGCTGTGAGCCTCTGGGCTACAGAGTACGGTCTGAAAAGCCTGGTGGGTGAATTGCTAAGGTGAGAAAAATACCCGAAGGCTTGTCCTTCTATTCCAAGCAACTTGAGGCACCCTATTCCTTGTTTCATCTTTCTGTGCAGGGAAATCGGACAGAAATGTCTGCAGGATCTGGCTCGCGATGCTTCTGGAATCAAGGGTTATGCTACCTTTATAACTGAACTGGCTGAACAGATTCCAGCTCTGGTGCTATCCAACATGAGCGTTCTCCTGCGTCACTTGGATGGGGAGGTACATTTCCACAATATTACCTGTCTGGAGAAGTCAAATGGTGGAGGTGCTGCTATCCAGTTTTTCTGTCTGAAAACAGAACCTCTTTCATAGAGATCAAGTAGCCAAAACCTGCCCTTTGGAATAGGTTCTGCCCTTACCTAAAAGATGCAAGGAAACAGAAACCATGACGTCTACTGTCTGGTTGTGACTCCCAGAGAATGGGAGACTGCTTACTGGTTTGAGGTCCCAGCTGTTGTCCCTTGTTCTTCGGTACTTAATGAGTTTGTCATTGTGTTACCTTTTCTTAAACTGCCCTTAAAAGCCATAAGTGTTTCTCATATCAGTTCTTGGCTTCTGTGGACCTAGCTGGATAGCAGGGTTGGATTACTCTCTCTTACAGGCACAGCCATGTTCACTCAAGGTTAATACGAAGTCCATAATGGAGAAATTGCTAGAGCCTGGGACTTGGATGGCCCAAACTCTGGGCCATCCTTCCCCTTGGCATATCATGTCATGTCTTTTTGTCTGTTCCTGGTTCAACAACTCCTCTTTTTGCAGAGTTATATGATGCGAAATGCCATTCTGGCAGCTATGGCAGAAGTGCTAGTGCAGGTGCTGAATGGTGACCAGCTGGAGGAAGCTGCCCGTGGTACTCGGGACCAGTTCCTGAATATGCTGCAGGCCCACATCTGTGACATCAATGGCTTTGTGCGCAGCCGTGTGCTGCAGCTTTTCACTCGAATCGTTCAGTGCAAGGTAAGTCTGTGCTGGGGAGATGGCGTTGCCTCAGTCACCCCTTCCCTTGTTGTGTTTTCTAAGGGATTTTCTGTCACCCTGCTCTTTGCAGAGACTGAAGTTTAACAGAGAAAGGTATTGTCCCTGTGTACTGTGGTGTCTGCAATTCCTTCTTCCCAAGAGACCAAAGATCCGAGGGGTGAAGGAACTGGGGAGCAGAAATTAAATGCTGCTCTTTGTTACTGGGACAGACTAGAAGGAAGAGCACAGTACACAAGCTCTTTTTGGACATTGGTATGGGAAAACATCACCCTCACTAGGTATGCTAAGACTCGACTCAACAGGACCCTGGATAACACCTAATCTAAGTCCTTGCTTTCAACAGAGGTTGGACCAGATGATGTCCAGAGGTCCCTTCAGACCTAGACTTTTCTATAAATCTATAATCTGTGCCTTTTAGTACATTAATATGTCTGCAGTAAAATAACTTCTTATGAGTCTCTTGGCCTTCTTGATAACTTTGTCTATGCTCTCATTGTGTGCTAGGCCCTGCCTTTGACTCAGTTCCAGTCTGTGGTATCGCTGGCTGTTGGGCGTCTCAAAGACAAATCTGTGGTAGTAGTTAAAAATGCAATCCAGCTCCTGGCTGCATTTTTGTCCAACAATCCCTTCTCCTGCAAGGTAATTCTGACTAGTATGATGGATATGCTAGAGGTCTGTTTGCAGGCTGAATATCTGCAGTGTGCTATAGCCAGGGCAGCAGCCTTTCTGTGTCTTATGGGAGGGACAACGTAGCCTTTCAGTCTGCAGGTGGGAGCTTTCTGGTTTTTCCAGGTTCAGATCTTGCTTTCTCTGGCTCTTCCCTTGCTTAGTGTAATTGGTAGGTATGCTGAAGGCCAGGAGGGATGTGTTTGGCTGTGGAAAAACCTGCAGCAGTTTGATTTGAATCTGCTGTGGGGTTTCTTTCCTTAGGATCAGAATTAGTCTTTTAGAACATTCTGCACAGAGCTGCAGCTCTTTGTGTTTAGCTGCAGCTTCTCCTGAGCTTCTGAGCCTCAAACTGGCAATTTACAGCAGTTTCCGTTCTAGGATGATGGCCAGAGTCTACTATTCCAATTTCCAAAACCAGGGTTATCTGAGGGGATTGACAACTTAAAGCAGGGAGTGGAAGAGAAAGGAGAATTCTAGCATTTCAGAAAAAGGAGGATAAGTAACATATTTCTTCTCTTCCTGGCATCTTCAGTTAAGCTGTACTGACTTGGCCGAGCCGCTGAAGAAAGAGGTGCAGAAGCTACAAGAAATGAGGGACCATGGCAGATCTACAGCAGGTAATTTCTGTTTTTTCTCTTTCCCCTTCCCAGGGCGTACCAGGGCTTATTTTTCCTCATCTTAAATTTGCTCCCAGATTGTCGTGGCTTTTGTCTCAGATCTTACTCGTGTGAGACAGTGAGGCCAGACAACTGGGATTAAACTTGCAACAGTTTTTCCTACAGTGGTGTTATAAAAGGACCATATGAATGTCCATATCTAGATAAACAGTCGATTTAGCTAAATATCCTATTTTCAGGGTAAGAACTGAAAATACTTATGAACACCCTCCTAGGTTTCCATTTTCAACCATTCAAGGACTGCTTGAGCCATAATTTTAGTCAGATACTAATTTAAACTTGATTACCTTTGGACCCTCCTGCCTGCAAAACAATAAATAGCAAATGATGATTCTCTCTTACCTGTCATTTTTTTACTCTCAGTGGTTTCTTTTTTATGCCAAAGCATTCTTGTCTATTCTTACTGCAGTCTGGGTGGGATCAGCAATGGGAATAGTGCCTGCCTGTGGAAAAAAAAAAAAAGTAGAATTCCTAAGTTCCTGATGAGTTTCTCTCCCCATTTACGGTCTCATTTGAGTCTCTGTATTCTTCATTCCCTCTGTTGTTTTTTTTAATAGCTCCAGAGATCACCCCAGAGGAAGAGTGGGAAGCGATGCTGCCAGAAGTTCGGGCTGCCACACAGCAGCTCTTTCAATCACTGCAGGAAGGGGAAGAGGAGGTGCTGGAAGTTGAGGAAACAGTGGAGAGTACATCGGAGCAAATCACTGGGCTGCTGAGGAAGCTGAATTACAAGTAAGAAAGCTCTGTAGTTTGAGAAAGTATTTATCCCAAGGGATATGTTGGTGTCTCATTCTCTGTTCAAGAAAGGTTTGAGCTCCAGGGTAGAGGGATGATTTCCAGTAATGTTACTCTGTAGAAGAGATTGACATGGGCTCCCAGCACAAGATGCTGGCAGGAGCTGCTTTCCCAGGTGTTCAGGGCAAAGGGTTGGTGGTTTCCCTTGTATCCTGCCCTAACGGGTTGCTGATGTTCTTCTCTTGGGCAATGTCATTGTCAGGAGTGCAGCCCGCCTTACGCAGAAGGCCCTGTGTCGCTTCCAGGGGAAGGAGCCCTTCAGTGGCCCCACAGAGGAAAACGAGGAGGCAACAATCCTGGGCATTCTGAAGAGACTTTACACAGGTAACTACTTCAGATCACTCTATCTCTTCTTTAAGTCCAAGCTGATGCCAGAGCTAGACCAAAACCCTCTGGAATGCCCTGTCCCTCCTTCTGACCCGCGGGGCTCAGTCTGTGTGTAGTTGACAGCTCATAGAGCTGCACCATCTCTGGATCATTTGCTGATCTAGTGGCCTGGCATTTTCGCGGCATGACATTAGTCCTGTCATTTCATTTCTGGTTGGAGTAGTTCAATGTTCCCACCAGAAGTGCATTTCTGATGCTTTAACTCACATAATATCTGCTGAGTGGAGTGAAGACAATGTTATCCACTCACACTCTTCTGTCCTGTCTGAATTTGTCAGGAGTTCTGCTTCCTGAACAGGTGGTGGCACATAATGCTTACACTTAGCGGCCTTGACCAAGTATCTGATTCAAGCAAAGTCTTGCTTATCTGGGGCTCAAGCCTTTTTAAGACTTCACATGCTTTATCTTTGGTGTTTTTGTTTCAGAATAAGGTTTCCCAGCCAATCCCCTTGAGCTCATTTCTATCAAAAGGCTACCATCTAAATAATTTAATCTTCTTAACTTTGTCAACTCTCCACACTTGCACAAACTTTGCTGGCGAGTAATAGTATTTGCCTTCTCCCTACTCTGCCCTGATTCCCTTTTTGGGCCTCATCCATCTTCAGGGAGCTGTCAAGTTCAGATTAACCCCTTCAGTATTTTAATGGAGTTTACCCCAACTGGACCATGCCTTTCTCCACCCCTGTTTTAAGTTGGCATTTCTCTCGTGCATTGCATTGTAGTACTGGAACTTGCTCTACAGCATGCTCAGATTTTGTCTTTGTAGCTAAATCTGGTGGCAGAATTTGGATTTTTGGCTCTTGGCTCTTGGAAGGTGTCACTATGGGGCGGAGAAAGAAGAGTTTAAAATGCCCTGAACTGTGCCTGTTTCTCTTGTACTTTCAATATCGCTCACAAACAAGTGTTCATGCTGTGCAGGTTCATGCCCAGGTGAGAACAGTGAGGATCCTCCACGTGGCAACAGTCGTCCTGAGACTGAAGAAGTTGTACCAGAAGAGCAGCCTCAAACAGAGCTGGTCAAACAGGAGATGTTGGTGCAATACCTGCAAGATGCTTACAACTTCTCAGTGAAAATCACAGAAGCCTTGAGCTTGATCAGCAAGATGATGTATGAAAACTGTGTCTCAGGTGTGTGAAATAGCCATGGGGCCCTTTCTCCCCTGTTCAGAGTTTCCAGATCTTTCCCCTTGCTGAAGAGGAAACGTGGGAGTGGTGGAGCCCCAGGGGAAGGGGAAGAGGTTGGAGGAGCTGCTCTTCACTGGCACTTCCAGGATATCGGAAAAGCAAGCACCATCTAAATGGGTGTCATGAAGAGGTTGCGTTAGGGCATGAATGGGCTTTTTAGGAATCCATTTTTTAAATATCAAGGTTGAAAATGTTTTTAAAAGCCAGGTGACCAAAATGACTTAATTTATGGAGGCTCCCCCCCTCCTGTGGGAGGGGATGTATGTTGATCGTCTCAGCCGAGGTTCTCCCAAAGTAAGCATGGCTAGTGAAGCTGGGTTCTGTTACCTGCTCAGAGCCCTGGATGCAGCTTCAGGTGTTATGCTGGCCACAAGAGGGGAACTGAGCAGCTTGTCTCATCCACCTTGCCTTTCCTTAAACTTTATCCTGTAGCTAGAAGTGATCCTGATCAGCAGGTTCTATGGCCTGGTCCTGTTCAGTGCTGTAGTGAAAGGTGGTGATGAGTAGGCCTTATGAGCTATTCATATTTAATATTAGAAATACTGTAACCAGTTAGACTTTTTTTTAAGTGCTTATCATGAATCAGCATCCCCGAGAGGGCTGGGGCATGGAGGGGCACAGCTCCCTCCTCTCCCATCCTCCTTGGCATATCCACTTGCCAACCACTCACATAGTTCTGGCGTACAGATGAGTCTGGGCACTAGAACGCCCTAGCTTCATGCAAACACTTCTGAGGCTTCATCTGTATTGAGAACTCGTACGTTACCCATAATAAGCACATGGGTTCCCCAGCAAGGTTTGGATGTCGTTAGCTGTTTGCTCACACAAAAATGAACTCCTGAATTCACTGTCTTTTCAGGTCATTTGACATTAAAGGCTGAGAAGGGTGCCCATCACCTGATACTTAAGCACCTGGGTTTTGGTTTGTTTTGGGTTTTTTTATGGTTGTGCGGATTTTTACTACCTTTCCACCTCCCTGTTGTCCTATGCTGTAGTGTAAGAAAGGCCAGTTGGGTGTCTGGACAGCCGAGACGTTTTGAGACATTGTCTCCATTTGGAGACAGTATGCTGTTGGGTGAGGGGGTAGTGGTAAGGGATGTCTGTGCTCAGATTTATGTTTTTTAATTAAAGATTTAAGATTTAAAGATTTTACTTTATTTTTTCTGTTGCGAGTATGTATCTTCTGGCGTGAGTGGGGGCAGAGGAAGCATACCAGCTTGTCTAGGTACAAACATGTCTGATAGAGGATCTTTATTCAGATTTATAAGTTGAGGCTTATATTGGTGTAAGCTCCCACTAAACCAGAGGTCAGACTCTATGAACATTGTACAGTCCCTCTAATCACTACTGTGGCTCTTTTGTGAATGCTCTCCAACTTACTGTTTTTTTCTTGTCTTATGAGCAGAAGGCTTGGCAGTATATTTCAGGAGTAGTCAAGCTGGACTCAAATACGTTATTCCTTACCCCATTTATACATCAAATAGCTTAGTTCTTCTGGTTACAGCATTGCACTGGTACTTACATTCAGCTGCTTTTATCTGCTGTGACCATGAGATCTTTTTTTTCCAAAGCTACTGTTTCACAGAAGAGATTTTTGTTCTTTCTCAGACACGGTCTCTGTGTTCTTCTCCTAAATGTATCACATTACATTTAGCTGTAATATTGTTAACCTGTGCCCGTTTCCTCCAGGACATCTACATCTTTGTACTAGTGACCCCATTCTGACTTGAGCCCTCTGCAGTCTGTAACAGTGATCTTAGATGCTTGTAGGGCTTGCTGTGAGAGCAGTACACTTATGAATTTGTTTTAATTAGGAAAGAAGTGCACTAACACAACTGTTCTTCTCTCTGCAGTGGTGCAGGAAGCCATTGAGTTCTTTGTGACAGTCTCGCAGTTTGGTGTGCCCCAGGCAGTGCTTGGAGTCCGCAGGATGCTCCCCCTCATATGGTCAAAAGAGCCTGGTATTAAGGAGGCTGTACTGAACGCCTACAGGCGGCTCTATCTGAGCCCCAGCGGGGAATCGGAGAGGTATGGCTCTTCCTAATCAGAAGGTGGTTTTTTGGGTTTTTTGTTTGGAGGTTTTGGTTTTTTCCTTTTTTTTTCCCCTCCCCTGTTTCTTCTTTTGGGGAGCTGTTGGGAATGGTGTATGGACAGGAAGAGAAATCAAAGTTGCCACGCTTCATGCTGAGCTGAAACGTAAGGTTTGTATCCACTAGTAAAGATGCTTCCTCTTTGAGCTTTTACCAACATTTGTGCAGTTCCAAGATGTTTTTCTAAATCTGAGTATCCCAATCTTCCTGTGGGACCTACTGCTGAGCTTCTGCTTTTGGTTTGTCATAGTGTTCAGGTGTAGGAAATTCATGCAGCAAAACTCCATATGAGACCTTATGGAAGGAGAAACTGAGAATTATTTTAAATGAAACTGTTATCAGGCACTCACACTTAACGTTCTCATAAATTTCACTCTCATACAAAGCACTGCACCAAGATAACATGTACCCAAATGATCTGGGTAAGGACCCTATGTGATAGGGAACAAGGGGTGTCAGTTATGAATGTTTATCATGTCAGCTGGGTTCTTGATTGGCAACAATGAACTGATTTTTTTGGACTATTTCAACCCCTTTGGGAGTTGACTGTTGTTATGGAGTCATCCTGTGTCTAAGTGTCTTGCATACTTCACCCTCTGTGGGCAAAGTTGTTGCCCAATGTCTGTTCCCTCATTTTAGGTTTCTTATGGCTGTAGTCGCTCATCCTGTTGGGATAATAAGAGGAATAGTAAGCAGTGTGGTCCACAATTAGAGGTATCTTTCTGTTACCAGAGCTCAGTGTTTTTGCTGATAAGTCATGCATGCTGTGGCCTTATCTGAGTGTAGGAATTCTGTTTCTGATGTGAACAACACATTCCTCAGTGTTTATTGGTTTTCTTACGTCAGCTGTATCCTTGATTTTTCAATATACACCGTTTCTTTATCCCTCACACTAGAAAGGTTAGTTACTATTATTATCGTTTGGGTGCTTTCACACACATTTCTATTTGCATTTCATTCAGACCGATCTTAAATCTTTTTGTAACAAATCTGTATATGTGGCAGATGAGAGGACATTACTGGGGTCTTTGTTGCTGATCCTTATTGAGGATTTGGGGGTGGGAGCTGGGTACCGCTTGCACGCTTGTTTCTTCCACACTAGAGAGGAGCTGTGTCTCCTCTCTACTGTGGCACTTGCTCTTTTTTCTTAGCACTTGCCCACATGTAAATCCTGTTGGATACACTTTCACTAAGATAAGCGTGATCCCTGGTGAGATGCACCATACCTCATACCATATTGTACCATTAGGGCAATAAAAAGCACTCACTGCTGCTTATTTCTTCTTGATAGTATTGCCTGGAGATGACTGTCCTGCAGTTTGCGCTCTGGCCTTATGTGTTCATAAAGAGATTTTCAGTTTCTTACGCTCTAGGGAATAGTACTTAGACTTGTGCTTGAGAGCTGTCCTGGTTTCAGCTGGGATAGAGTTAATTTTCTTCCTAGTAGTTGGTATAGTGCTGCGTTTGGGATTTCGTATGAGAATAATGTTGATAACACACTAATGTTTTAGTTGTTCCTAAGTAGTGTTTACAGTCGTCAAGGACTTTTCAGCTTCTCGTGCTCTGCCAGGTGCACAAGAAGCTGGGAGGGAGCATAGCCAGGACAGCTAACCTAACTGACCAACCATAAGATGTCATGCTCAGTGTATAAAGCTGAGGGAAGAAGAAGGAAGGGGGGACATTTGGAGTGATGGCGTTTGTCTTCCCAAGTAACGGTTACGCATGATGGAGCTCTGCTTTCCTGGAGATGGCTGAACACCTGCCTGCTGGTGGGAAGTAGTGAATGAATTCCTTGTTTTGCTTTGCTGTCGTGCGCTGCTTTTGCTTTCCCTATTAAACTGTCTTTATCTCAACCCATGAGTTTTCTCACTTTTACCCTTTCGATTCTCTCCCCCATCGCACCGGGGGGGAGTGAGCGAGTGGTTGTGTGGTGCTTAGTTGCCAGCTGCGGTTCAACCACAACAGTCCTTTTTGGCACCCAATATGAGGCTCGAAGGGTTGAGATAATGACAGATCTGACCAAAGTGTGTTACGGCAAATTTGTTATAAGCATTCATTATGTTGCTGGTCACAATGTTGGTTTATTTGCTCTCAGAGTTGTTGGATTTGTTCTTGGAGTTGTGTGATGTAACACCTTACTTGCTGTACATACTGTTTATCAGTATTTATGTGTTGTTTATAACCTCTGAGAGATGGATTAAGGTTATCGCTTTGCTATATTATGTAACACTGTCTTACGGTATGATAAACTTACTAGTCATGAGATTGTACTCAGCACTGCCGTCATCCCTGTGCTTCAGGAGCTATCTCTCAGAAACTATTAGTAATTACACTTTTTACCTCTTCTCTTCAGAGAGCCAATTTATGGGAGAGACACCTTCCTATACCTTCCCTTTCATATCTTCAGAAACTCCTTTTTCTTCTATCCTCTTCATGAAGCCCTTCACAACAGTTCTTGAGAATTTTGAATATTCTTGGGATGTTCAAACAAGCATGTTCCTATTGCTATGTCTCCTGAATGTGGTTCAGGTCTTGCTTAGGGTTAAACAACTATTTAGGAATACTGTCCAGAGATCAACCCTGGCGGCAGGCACTGTGGCTACTCAGACCCCAGTCGCGTGGCACTGTGGCTACTCAGACCCCAGTCGC